CTATTGATTAAAGCAAAGAATTAAGGACATTGATTGTGACAGAAAAAAACTACCTTTCTCTTCCTCGCTTTCTCTACTTAATTCAGTGTACACAGGAACTTCCTGAAAATAAAGAACACATATAATTAATTCTGACTATTAATTTTCTATTTGCCCAATTAAATTAAACAAAAACACCACCTCTATGTAATGTATGCCAAATAATTGTTCAGTGGATTGGCATGAGATGCTTTTCACCTCAAGGTCACCTCAAATGGTTCAGAATTTAGAATTGCATAATGAACTTTCTCCTCCTGCAGCCGCTGAATGTCAGCAGGAGGGGGAAGTAGAGAAGTCGGCTTTTAGCAGTTGGCAGGAGGAAAATGGAGAGGATCAGGCAATATCGGCTTATGTGGTTCCTGCTCTCTCTGCAGCCGCCTGCTTCCTCCGCTGTGCCGGCACCACCTTGATGCACTGATGCTTTGGGATAGCACGTTAGCAAGCCAGATTGAGATTAACGGGCTGCTGACCCTGGGCATGTACTTCCCTGGTGTGGGGTCGATTGAGCACCCCTGTCCATATTTATTTCATAAAATGCTATATTCAGTTTCTTGAACACAGTAAAGGCAGCATTAGCCATGAGATGTGTCAGATGTCTTTCTCCTCTTCCTAATGCACTGTGATATTCTACTGGGAACCCAGCTTCAATTTAACTTTGGCTGACATCACCAACAAGATGGGGATTTGTACCACACTAGACTCATAGGTAACAGGCATGCCCCCTGGTAATATGTGTCTCTCACTGTAATCTCTGATCTTTCCAGTCATCTGTTGCCAATTGCTGGAGTGCTTGTTTATTATGAAAATAATAATTTAATGTTTAACCAAAAATAACATACCAGGATAACAGAAGCTGGCATTGCATTTGTGGGTGTAACATCTATTGTCTCCCACAGGAAACAGCATGCATTGCTCTTGCATCTGGAGGTTAAGTGTATGCAAACCCAAAAACAAATTTCATATAATGCAGCCCACCAATCTTTAGATGTAATAGCTGCATTAGTTTTCTTTTTTTAGCTTTTTTTCCCCATTTTCATCCGGTGATCCAGCTAGTAACACACTTCCTGTCTTAGAATGGCTCTACTTACTCAACAAGAGGAGGGTAAATTTAGATGGACAAGTAGTTTAACATGGATTTTATATAGGTGACTAACGAATTGAAGCCTAACTGATCTAACACTTATGTAAAGAAACAGGTTCTTTTCCTTTTTGGAGAAAAGTTTTACCTAAATGTGACCACTCTAAACACCCCTGTCAGTGTTAAAAGTGGGAGCAAACTTATAGGTGTGGGTGAGACTTTGCTAAAGATGCCAAGTTTGCACAGCATTGAATTTAACACGCACCTACCTCCTTCTGTACTATCCTCCATTGAGGGATCCTGTCACTGATGTGTCCCCCACCACCCCCAATTCCTCCAGATCCAGTGGTGTTCCCCTTCAGCCACTGGGCTGTACACTGCAAAACTGACTACTTTTTTTTTCCTTTTTCTTTGCAGAATCTTTTTCTTAACATTTTGCTAAAGCTTTCTGCATCAATACTGCTTGAACCTTAGAAGAACAGAGTAGTATTCTAAAACACCATCATATAATAATATTTTGACCATTCTCACCTCTAATTCAACAGACAACCCTATCACCACCACCTTCCCCCACCCCTTTCCTTATAGGACTTTCTTACTTTTTCTTTACTGTCTGTGTGTATATTTTTCAGATAATCGTCTTTGCTGATTTTTTCTTACATATTTTGAAACTTTTGTGTATTGGTACTGCATGCACCCCCTCCCTACCAAAAAGCTTGACTTGAAAACTTAAAAACAGTGCAAATTAAAAAAACAAATAAAAACAACAAAAAAAAAAAAAAAAAAAAGTATCACTGACAGACAACTGATAAAACAAATGTTCACCACTTCATTTTTGCATACATCTACAAACTGAGAATTTTTATCTCCATACGACATTCCTTCAGTGTAACTAGGACATATTCTTCATTATTTAACCACTTGCCTACCAGGCACTTATACCCCCTTACTGCCCAGGCCAATTTTCAGCTTTGAGCGCTGTCGCACTTTGAATGACAATTGCGCAGTCATGAAACAATGTACCCATATGAAATTTTTATTTTTTTTTTGAGACCGATAGAGCCTTCTTTTGGTGGTATTTAATCACCTCTGGGTTTTTTATTTTTTGCTAAACAAACCAAAAACTGAAAATTGTGAAAAAAACAAAAACGTTTTTTCTTAGTTTCTGTTGTAAAATTTTGAAAATAAGTGATTTTTCTCCTTCACTGATGTGCGCTAATGAGGCTGCAGTGATGGTCACTGATAGGCTGCACTGATGAGGAAGCACTGGTAGGTGCCATTGATGGGCATTGACAGGCATCACTGATGGGCACTCATATATGGCACTGATGGGTGGGCACTCATAAACAGCACTGACAGGCATTGATAAGTGGCACTGAAAGGCAGCTCAGATGAGCACTGATATGTGGCATTGATTGTGGCACTGACAGGTGCCACTGCTGGGGCTACACTGATCATCAGTGCCCTGATGATCAGTGTACATGTCCCCTCTGAGTAATGCCAATTACTGGCTCTCCTCTCCTCACGAGCGATCAGTGTGACTGCTCGTGAGCAGAGAAATGCCGATAACCGGCATTTCCTTATTTACAAGCAATCAGCTGCGATTGAACACAGCTAATCACATGACAGAGCCGACGTCTTTGGCTCTTTCCGTTGATCGGTGATCCGCTGTGTCCCAGGGACACAGTGTACCACCGATCGGTGCGCATGCACGGTTAGAATGGGAGGACGTCATATGAAGTCCTCCCAGAACAAGAGAACTGCCTTGCGCCCGTCATTTCCTTATATGGCGGCGGGAGGCAGTTAAAGGGATTATTACAACAAAATCAAGTATTACAATTCACATAATACCATTTAATAACGAATCTAAATAAGATAACCTTCTGCATTATTATTGGAAACTCTGTCCTTACCGGCTCTGCTTCACCTTTGCCCCTTCTAACTTGTTCCTCGATAAATTTTGCAGTCCTCTCTTCATCATCGAGATCCTGTTTCTTCTTTTTCTCTAGCTCCTGCTGTCTTTTGATTGTTTCAGGATCCCGGTCTATGTACTGAATGTACCAGCCCTTAGGTGTTTCATCAACTTTACATAAACCTAAAAGGATGTTGGACATAAATGACTGATCAGGTAAATTATGCTGCAATAAAGCAAAGCTATGGAAACAGCATTCACATACTAGGACTATCAAATACATATGCGAGATTAAGCTAAAATAATTTTACACATAGCTGCCAGTGTGCAGCTCCCCCCTGTGTGTCTATGAGAGTGCAGCTCTCATTGACACACAGGTGGCTGGGGAGCAAGCAGAAGTGCCCCCAGAGCAAGCAGCTTTCTAGGGGAGCACTCAGCAGGGAGGAAGGGCCTGGAGCGCCATCACAGGAGGGACCCAAGAAGAAGAGAATCGGGGCTGCTTTGCGCAAAACTATTGCGCAAAACCATTGAACAGAGCAGGTAAGTAGGTCATGGTTGTTATTCTTTTAAAACAAAATAGGTGTACTTTTACAATCACTTTAAGCTTGGAAGTTTACACACACCCCTACCCCCACCATCAACCTCCTGAGACATGTGGCAGGTCCCAAGAGGCTTTGGGCCCATTGAGAAAGTGCAGCACTACTCACTGGGAAGCTGGCTGTGAAGCACCAGAAAGTCACAGCCAGCTTCCCACATCCAAGATCGTGGCACCAGGGACCCAAAGACAGGCGATGAACTGGCCCAGGTGAGGACAGTACTGGATCCCTGGACTGGTAAGTGCATGTTTATTAAAATTCAGAAGCTACAGTATTTGCAGCTGTTGGCTGTTCATTTTTTCTAGAGTGAATCCTCTAGATTATTCTTGGCTTAAAATAGCTCAATTAAATCACTTATACTGCTAGACATTTCTCCTCCTTCTGTAACATCATTCTCATCAATTGTGAACATTACTGCACAGTGATCACACTGAATCTTGGCTTATAACTTCATTAGTCATTTCTTTATAAAATTCTGCTATTTATTTAAATTTGGAAAATGTTTAACGTATATTTACTTAAAAACTCCTTAAAAAAAAAAAAAAAATAATAATTACCTTCTCTTCCCAGCCATTTTGTAAAGTCTGTCAGTGTCTCCCACTGTGTGGCATTCATGTGTACATGCTCTCGATGACTGATGTACTCATTGTAAACAATGTTATTGTGAACACGTTTAGTACCTGTTGGAAGTTAAAATTCAAAAGATAAGCCTACACAGAGATACATAAATGTTGTATATCTCACATGAACATTTTCTATTAGCTTAGTATTCTAGTGAAAATGGGCTTCTGAGACCTGCCTTAGCTCCACCTGCCTCTGACAAGCATGGATTATGTTCCTTCTTCATTGGCCAAAACAACCAAGATAAGGTATACACTGGTCAATAAACCCTAAAAGTAGAGGGTGAGAGAGCAGCTTTACCTCCCATTCAAACTGAGTGCAGTCAGAGTCAGATGGGGCATGAGCAGCTCATTAATACGTAGGTTTAAAAAGATGACACTGTATAGAAAAGACAACATTTTTTATTAACAACATTAAAGCCAGAAACATATTAGCCTGGTAGAATGTGGGTCTTCACCAGAAATAATGGATACAGCCTCACTCACCAAATCGCCGTCTCAGCAACTCCAAAAATTCATTGCGGAATTCTCTTAAAAACAAAACAAACAAAAAAAAAAAGTTAAACATTCTTCTAAGTAACAGAGGCAGAAACCCAGTGTATATTTATAGTAGTTAGAATTAATGTGAACATTGTTTAGATCAACTAGATTTACATAGCAAGGCTTTCTTTCATTAAAAATACCACTGAAAGCAAGCAATGAATTTAAATGGCAATACATACAAAAAAAAAGTTAAAAACACAAAATTACAATGCTTGCCCTATATTCTCTGTCCTGGGTTTGAAACAATGTAAAATAATGCAAAATAGCACCCTTAAGACCTTTTAATGTAATTTCATTAATTTATGTCTGATATTTACATAGGACAAATGAAAGGTGATCAAAAGGTCAAAGGATTCCCCAGGGGACTTTAGAGGCAGAAGATATGAAACATGAAATATATTAAAAAACCAATAATCTTTATTATTTCCCCAAAAAAAATGGCCAAATGGGACAAAGGTAAAAATACAATATGATACACCAATTAATTAAGCCAGCATATATCCAAGTGTATTTAGAAATACAACAATACAGATACATATCTTGCTTGGTGATAATAAAATCTTCCCACAATTCCCAAAATGTTTGAGAACGGAGTTCCTTCTTCAGGGTTAATTACTGGTATAATGATGAATTAGAAGGTGTATCTGTGTAACATGATTCAAAAATAGACATCCACAAAGCAGAGGCAGTCTATCCAAAATAAGCGTAAGAGCTTTAAATTCACAGTCATTGACTTCCTTGCTGAGCATACCTCTGCTGTGACTATTCTACGACTAGATTAGCCTTTCTTTCTGGCGGTGCCCCACTGGGATCCTTGTAGTAACCCCTTCAGAGCTGGAGATGTGAATTTAAAGATCTTGTGAATGGACACACGGAGCAGCATGGGGCCCCCATAGCAAGCTGCTTGCTATGGGGGCACCCGACAGAAAAGAGGAGCTAGGAGAGCCTGCAGGAGACCCGGCAAGAGGATGATCCAGGCTGCTCTGTGCAAAACCACTACACAGAGCAAGTAAGTATAGATATGGGTTTTTTTTGGTAAAATAAGAACCTCTTTGCCCTGGTGTTTTGTCACCAGAATGGAAATGAAGGGAAAATCTTCCATTGGGGACACTTGTTCCAAGGGACTAATGCCTAAAAGAAAATCTAAGAAGTGGCTGTAAAGCCAAACCAGAAAGCAGTGGGCAGGACTAGGTGTGGCCAGGTGGTGACTGACAAGCTACAGTCTAATGCATCGGCAGTGACAATGCTAATAGCCAATAAATGAAAAAGTGTATATGCAGCGCACAAATAATGCTCTAATATACTAGTGTTATAAGTAGATGTATACCATAAACATATATCATTGTGCGAAGCAAACGGATATACTCCAATAAATATCAAATATACATACAAAAACATGCAAATTCTTGTGTCATAAGTGACAAACACATGTGCCCAAAAGGTGTGTGGAAACGATCCAAAATTAAACACATGTCCATCAAAAGAAATAAAAAACATATACATATATAAAAACCAAAACATCAATAAAAAGCCAGAAGGACTGGAAAAAGAAGCACTTATTTCCAATCCTCCTGGCTTTTTATTGATTTTTTGGTATATACGTATTATTACAATTTATTCATATCTTATTGTTTACTTATACAGTATCATCTGTAATAATATTGGTGACAAGACAACTTTTTTGTTCACCCCTTGGTGGCAGTGGCGGGGCCGCTCCAGGAGACGACGGAGCGGCAGTCGTTTCTCCTCGTTTCTCTCTTTTTTCCCCACTTCTGTCATGAGAGGATTATGGAATCACTGGCTACATTCACTTAATAGGCAAGTATGTAGATAACAATCCAATTTTCTTTATATCACAGGACACAGAGCAGGGTATTCATGACTATGTGGGATGTCCCAAAGCAATAAAGACATTTTGAGCAGATGTGGCACCATGATAGCAACCAACAATCCCACAAAACCTTACTTATCCACTCGCAAGACGCTGCGACCAAAGGCCTCTGTAGCTCTAACATCCACCTGGTAGAACCTTGTGAGTGTGAGAACTGAAGCCCAGGTAGCGGCCTTGCAAATATGAGCAACTGACGCCTGATGGTGGATTGCCCAAGATGTCCCCACACTCCTGGTAGCATGTGCTCTTACCCGAAAGGTGGGACCTTACCTTTCAAACCATAGGCGTGAATGCTCAACTGGCGAATCCAATGCAAAGTAGTTGCTTTGGATGCCATCTGCCGCTTCCTGGAGCCATCAGGCAGCACAAAAAAAGCATCCAACTTCCTTGACCTGCACCATCGACTTCAGGAAGACCCATATAGCGTGTACCATATCCAAGGTATGCAAAGATCTCCCCCTTGTCGACTATGGCCTAGGAAAAAATAAAGGCAGAACAATGTTCTGATTGGGATGAAAACTAGAAACCACCATTGGTAAAAAAATATATGAATACATAAGAGACGGTCGAGGTCACAATGCCACCCTATCTTGATGCAAAATCAGAAAAGGTGCTTTACAAGAAAGAGCTACCAGCTCGACGCCCTTCTCGTGAAAGTGATTGTCACTAGGAACAAAACCTTCCAGGTCAACAGGACCAGAGGAATCTCTCTAATAGGCTCACACAGTGGTCTCTGCAAAACCTCCAAGACTAAGTTCAAGTCCCCCACGTACATAAAGGCAGCCTAACAAGTGGAGCCAAAAGCATTACTCCTTGCAAAAAAGTAAAAACTAGAGAGAGAGCGGCAATAGGCCTCTGACACAAAATAGCCAAAGCTGAAACCTGGCCTTTAACAGTACCAATGGCCTGATTGAAGAAATGACAGCATCCTACCAATCAAATATTTCCGTAGATGCCATTTCCTTGCCTCACACTAGGTACTGTAAGCTTTCCAAGTTCTGTAATAAATGTTCCTAGAAACCATCTTTCTAGCACCCAACAGAATGGGAATGAGAGAATCCGATACCCCCCCCCCCCCCCCCCATCATTTAGGATCTGGCTTTCAATAGCCATGCTGTCAAATTTAGTGACCATAAAGCTGGGTGCAATATAGGACCTTGAAAGAGCAGGTATGGCCTAAATGGCAGGGACAAAGGCCCATCCACTGCCAGTCCCACTATATCTGTGTACCAGGCCCTCCTGGGCCAGGCCAGGGCAATCAGAATCACCGGAACAGACTCCTTCCGAATCCTGCATAGGAGACGTGGCAACAGCTATGCCGGAGAAAAAGCATAGATTAGGGAAAACGGACTCCAAGGAATCACTAAATCATCCACCCCTGCCACACGAGGGTCCCTCATTCTGGACACAAACAGGTCAACTTTGTTGTTAAACCTGGATGCCAACAGATATATGTTTGGGCAACCCCATCACTGGCAGATTGCCCAGAAAACCTCGGGATGCAGTGTCCATTCTCCCGGGAATCAACAGTAGGCAGCTGAGATAATCCACCTGCCAATTCTCTACGCTCGGAATGAACACTGCTGACAAACTTGGCACATAACTTTCTGCTATGGTCAGAATGTAATTCACCTACTCTTGAGCCCTCCGGCTCCTGGTACATCCCTGATGGTTGATGTATGTCACTGCCGTGGCAATTTCTGACTGAATCCTTACTGGCCAGACCTGAAGCCTGAATGTCCAATACCTCAGAGAAAGCCTCTCTGCCCAAAGTTACAGGACATTGATGGATAGAACCCTTTCTCTTGGAAGCCATGTTCCCTGAACAGTGGCCTCCTCCAGGACAGCCTCCCATCCCGAGAAACTGGCATCAGTTGTAACCACCTTCCACACCACCAGCTAAAAGGATCTCCCTTTCTCCAAATTCTGAGTTGCCAACCACAAATTCAGGTTCTGCAGTACCTTGGGAAAGAGAGACATGGAAATCCAGGGCTGGAACCGATAGTCTTGTTCCAGACAGAATTTTCTTTTGCAGTAGTCTGGAGTGAAATTGCGCATAGCGTACTGATTCGAATGAGGACACCATCTTCCCCAGCAATCTCATACAGAGGCGAATTAAAGGATACATCTTGGCCCTTAAACTGCAGACCTGGTCTCTCAGGGCGCAGAAATACCTCTGCCTGCACCGTGTCTAAGATCATCCTCAAATATTCCAGGCTCTGTACTGGCTCCAGGGTAGATTTTTCAAAGTTGAGCACCCAGCCCAGTTGTTCCAGAACCTGAACTGTAAGGGCCACATCCTGCTCCAGACTTGGCACCACCCAACCTCTCAGCAACAGATCATTGAGATAACCTATGACTGATATCTCTTGAGTTCTGAGCAGCCCCAAAAACGATGCCAGAACCATCATAAACACTCGAGGAGCTGTGGCCAGCCCAAACGGCACAGCTATGAATTGGAAATGCCGAACTCCTACTGCAAAGCACAGAAATTTTTGGTGAGAACTGAATATTGGCACATTCAGGTATGCGTCCTTGATATCCATGGGCGCTAAAAAAAAATCTCCTTCCTGCACTAATGCCGTTACTGACCGGACGGATTCCATCTGAAAGGATCGGACATTTAGAAACGAATTTAGAGTCTTGAGGTCCAAAATGGGCCTTACATCCCCATTTGGCTTTGGGACTATAAACAGGTTTGAATAAAACCTTTGAAATTTCTCGTCCATTGGAACTTTCGTGATCACCACCTGAGACAACTGGTGATCAAGTGCCTGCAACAGCCCTCTTCTTTTTCTGGATTCATAGGTACATTTGACTGTATGAACCTGGGGAGGAGGGAAGACCTGAAACTCTAGTCTGTATCCCAGAGAAATCGTAGCAATGACCCACTTCTCCTGAATTGGAGTCTTCCAGACAGTTGCAAAGTTCAAAAGCCTTCCACCCACCCAAACAAGTGGGGGCTCTCATTCAGGTGGGCTTAGCATCTGTCTTAGCTGATTTTTGCACCCAGGGTCTCCTTGGGTTCTGACCTTGCGCCCTACCCCTAGAGGCTGGGGCCTGCGCACGACAAAACAACTGTCTGGTAGATAAGGGACCAGCCACCAAAGCCCCTGATCCCTTAAAAGAAGCGCTTGGATTGCCTTTTAAAAAGGCAACAGAGAAGTCTTTCCTCCTGAAATCTTTTGAAAATATTTATTCCAAATCCTCCCCAAACAGTTGCTCTCCCTGAAAGGGAAAACCTGCCTACAATTTCTTGCACAGCAGTTCTGCCGATTAACTCTTCGGCCACAAACCCCTACGCATGTGAACTGATAAGAGGGCCATGCGAGAAATTTGATGAATTGAATCCTTAACAGCATCTACCGCAAAACATAAAGCGCATGGAACATCCTCCAAATCCTCGGCCAAGCCTACTCCCTCCACTAATGGCCCTTCCAGCAACCGTTTAACATGGTTCGAGACACTGGCAGACACCAATAGCTGCTACTGCTGGCTGAGTTGCTGGCCCTGCCAGAGAGAAGGAGCTGCAGCAGCCCCACGTGTGCCCAGGAATTCTGGATACATAAATACAAATGGCCGATTTCCTCTTTCGGCTGTTATTGCACATGCGGGTAACCACCGAGCACACGCCTTGTGGCTGCAGCTAGTTGGCTCTCCATCAGGCTGCTCCCCCTAGAGGCACCAAAAAGAAGACCAGGCAGGCTTAAGTACAATGAAGCACTCCCCCTAATGGCAACCTTCGCCAACAAGGGAAAACAGTATCTTTGTTTTCCCTCCATTTTCCTTCTTTAAAAGATAAAAACAGAGTAAATCTTACCATTACCGCTGCAGGACTCAGCCTTACACCTTGAGTCCAACCTTCACCCATCACGGCGGGCCCTGTCACGTAGACCTTCAAGGGCTCGGTGCCCATGCTGTGGGGCCACTGCCTTGGACCTGTACAGCCCTCTGCTGGAAAACACCTTGGTCAGACTCAGTACTGCACAGGGTTCTATTTACACAGAGTCCAGCACCTAATGGCTGAATTACAGGCAAAACCCCAAGGATTCTTCTTATCCAACGAGGCTTGGGTACCATCCATTTTGGCTAACAGCATTCCGAATGGATCTGATTAAAGTCCATGATTCTCAGAGGAACCATCTCAGACCATATGTATGATCCAGAAGCACAAGCAACACCTTCAGTGACCATCCACCTTACAGACAATGGTGAAAAAACTGAGGCATTTCCTTTGTAGGAGGGGTTATATAGGAGAGGACTCCTCTCTCATTGGTTGGCCAGTGCCCATTCACCTATAGGTGGCATATAATCCACATAGTCATGAAGAGACTGCTCTGGGTCAATAAAGAAAAATACAGTTCCATCATCAATATACATAAAAAGGAGGGATACTGTAAATTAAACAGTGTGTGTTTAGTATCACTTTAACACTTTTGGAATAAGCGATACTCACTCTGAAAAATAATCCATAAACTGTTGGGGATTCTCTGAAGCAAGCAGCAGCTGTCTCTGGTGAGATTCTGACAAGCAGTGACATTTGAAGCCATTCTTCAATAAAGAAAAAAAAATCATTATAAATATGGAATCACATCTTTTCAAAATGATCTAGGATGCAATAAAGAACATTTCTACAAATATTTTTTTAAAATCCATATTGTTTTGTAAAAAACAAACAAAAAAAAGATTAACTAGCCAGACATACTCAGTGATGAATAAATCATTTACATCCAAAATGACAAGAGTAAGCCACTATGAAAGTGTTAGGTATTTGAATTTTCTATAAACAAATGGTAAATACATTGGTACTGGTGTATCTAAACAGCTCAGAGACCAACGACATTACAAACACAGCCATTGACCTGTGTCCATTATGTACCGACAACTAACTGAAGGTGTTATCTCTTTAGGTTTTCCTCCTGGTTCTTAACTGTGTTCTTGTCATATGAAAGAATCAAACTGAATAGGTATAAAATTAAAGTTCCACTCCATAATACTCCAGATATAAGTTTATTCCAAAGACTAATTATTAGGCTGCTTTCACACCAAGTATTTTTTGTGTTCAAAAAAAGCACAACAAAAGCTCATAAAAAATGCTTCCCTATGTAAATGTACGTTTTCACAACTTTTCTGCATCATCCCGTTACTATTTCTAGAGCCAGCGGTCAGCTTTCTTATAAAAGCAATACTAGTGGCTAATTAGCCACTGGATTACTTTTACAAGCAGTGGGAGGGGAAGACCCCCCTCCCGTGGCTCTCTCGTACCACCAGGAGACCCGAGCAACCAGTCAGTGGTTCCAGCGGCTGATTAGCGAGGTAATCAGAGACCAGAACAATTTCTGTTTTGCTGGATGTAATTAGCACTATTTTTTCACCATTGGGAAGGCATCTGATCACACTGATCTGTGGTCAGATGCTGTGAAGGGCAGATGAGAGATCTGGAGTCTAATAGGCCCCGGAATTTTCAGTAAACAGTACCTGTCACTGCCTATTGTTATCACAGGGGACATTTGTATCCTCTGTGATAAGTGAAAGAAAAATAAATCAACAGTGTAAAAATAAAATAAATATTAATAAAAAAAAAAAACAAAAACATTAAAGCACCCCTGTTCCCGCATGCTTGCGCACAACTCAATTCTGCGCGTGCACAAGCAGCGATCGTCCCACATGTGTGAGGTATCTCTGTGAACATCAGATAATAGGCAGTAATTCTAGCATGAGACCTCCTGTGTAAATCTAAAGTGGTAACCTGTAAAAGCTTTTAAAGCGGCACCTATGGATATTAATAATTCACTATGGCACCGTTGCACGGGCATGCGTAGTTTTAACCATTTGACTACCGGGCACTTAAACCCCCTTCCTCCCAGGCCAATTTCCAGCTTTCAGCGCTGTCGCACTTTGAATGACAATTGCGCGGTCATACAACACTGTATTCATATGAAATTTTTATAATTTTTTTTGAGACTGATAGAGCTTTATTTTGGTAGTGTTTAATCACCTCTGGGATTTTTATTTTTTGCTAAACAAACCAAAAACAACTAAAAATTTTGAAAAAAAAAAAGGTTTTTCTTAGTTTTTGTTATACAATTTTGTAAATAAGTGATTTTTTTTCCTTCACTGATGTGCGCTAATGAGGCTGCAGTGATGGGCACTGATAGGTGGCACTGGTAGGTGGCACTGATAGGCATCACTGATGGGCACTGAAAGGCAGCACTCATATGGCATTGATAGGCAGCACCGATATGTGGCACTGATGTGCAATGATATGTGGCATTGATGAGCACTGACAGGTGGCACTGATGGGGCTACACTGATCATCAGTGCTCTAATGATCAGTGTACATGTCCCCTCTGAGGAATGCCGATTACCGGCTCTCCTCTCGAGCTGTCAGCGTGACAGCTCCTGAGGAGAGAAATGCCGATAACCGGCATTTCCTTATTTACATGCAATCAGCTGTGATTGGAAACAGCTGATCACATGACCCAGCTGCCGTCTTTGGCTCTTTCCGTTGATCGGTGATCCGCTGTGTCGAGGGACACAGGGTACTACCGATCGCCACGCAGTCAGAGTGGTTAGAGTGAGAGGACGACACATGACCTCCTCCCAGAACGAGAGAACCTCCTTGCGCCCGTCACTGTCTTATATGGCAGGCGGGAGACGGTTAAAGTGTGGCATGTTTGGTGTCTAGTTACTCAATGTAACATCATCTTTAAATGTTACCAAACAATTGGGTATTATATTGTGTTTTTGTGCTTCCAAATTCAAAAAAGTGTTTTTTTTTTTTTTTTTAAATTGCGGTTTAATAACCGCTGTGCAAATACTGTGCAACATAAAAAATGGCAACACCCACCATTTTATTCTCTAGGGCAGGGCTTGAGAAATTTGCTTTGAATCTAGGAGCCAGCTGAAAAAGTTAGGAGCCAGTTTTGGGTTTTTTTTTTAGCAAAACATGGGTTGTCAGCACCTGGGGCAAGGCAACTTATGGGCATCAAGCTTCAGGCGATCTGATTTGCCGTGCGACAATCACAGCAAAACCGCACCACGTTTTAGGTGCCATTAAAAATACCTGCATTGTGCGACCACAGCGATTCTGCTGTGACCCCAAAACGCCCAGGTGTGCCCTGGTTCACACATATGCGATTCTGGATGCATTCTCAAACTCACAGAGTCGCATGACAGGCTAGATATTATGTGTCCCTATAGAGGTGGTTCTCACAGATGCGATATACATGCATTGGTTTTTGAGTGCCATTATGAAAAGGGTCCTGTGAGAGTTTGTGCAGTGCGTTCCAGACTTGCAAGTGATAGAGTGGCATGCAGAGAAGTGTTCACATAGGTTTGCTATTGATAGGAGTTTTTGCACTGAAGTCAATGGGAGGCGCTTTTGCATTGAAGTCAATGGAAGGCAGTGTGTGCGCCCAGGCGCCAGGATGTAATTTTTAGTCCCCATGGCGACCTGGCTCCTGGGATTTGTCGAGCCCTGCTCTAGGGTCTCTGCTTTAAAAAATATATATATAATATTTGGGGGGGGTAGTTTTCTAGCAAAAAATAAAGATTTTTACATGTAAACAAAAAGTGTCAGAAAAGGCTTGGTCTGCAAGTGGTCAAACAGCGTGTTGGCACAACCACACAGTAGTACAGGTAGGGTAAACCAGGCAACATATTGCCTCCTCACTGCCTGTCAATCTGAAGAGCAATCCAAGCGTGAATCGCTTTCACAGGCACAGCAGTCCCAGTCACTTATGGATTCTTATACTATTAACTCGGCGAGTAACGTTTTCTAAACACACCTCAAATGCGCTGTAAACGCCGCCAGGGAATTTGTGGTGTGTTCAAACTGACTTGAATGGAGGTGTTTAAGAAGCAGTCAAGCCAGCCATCCAACCTCTACATGGCAGAGAAATGTCAGATTGGCGATATGCAAAGTGGCATGCCCATGTGAACAACACTATGCGCTGCAATGCATATAACTGACACAGAGTGTTGGCAGGCATTAGAGAGGCTTCAAAAACAGATGAGACTGAGTGTACACTGAGCCTGACGGTGTACATAGACTTTAACTGGATTCATGCATGCTGTGACCCCAACACACGATTCTACAACACTTCCTGTATACAGAGCTCGGCTCATCTCAGCCCCATACTGTGTGTGATACAACCAGCCTCGGAGCCCGGCCCGGCATCTCCTCCAATGTCCTCACCTCGTCCCGGCACTGTTTCTGGCACATCTGGCAGTACCATCGCAGCTTCTGCAGACCCTTCGATTTGATGCGATTAGCGATCGCCTTTGGGGTGAGGAAATCTGCCTTCCCCATCCCGACCACACTGCCTGCCGGGGTCCGATCCTAGAACCTGACGTAAGATGTGGTTCCCCAGCGTCACCGCGCACAGAACGGGCAGAGGACACGTTTCCTTCCGCCCTGCTCTAGTGCACGTGTAGCGGCCATGTTTGAAAAGGGCAGTACTAAATCTAGGGTTATGTGCTTTTCTTTTAAGTAGAGAGTATTAAAGAACAACTTCATATTGAGACAAATGCGCTATAGTTTTGCATGACAGTGCACTGAAAATGTGCAAAAATATTGCAGTAACAGTATCTGCTCAGAGACCTAAATAATAAATAATTTCCCCACCTGCAAAACTGCCTCATATGTACACTTGAAGACCAAGCCTTATCTGACACTTTTTGTTTAACTTAAAAAATCATTATATTTACTAGAAAATTACTTAGAGCCATCAAACCTTATATACTACTAAGCAACTTATTCACTCCCGTGTTATCTCGCCTTGACTTTTGTAACTCCCTTCTCACAGGCCTACCTACTCGCAGGCTATCCCCTCTTCAGTCTGTCATGAATGCTGCTGCCAGACCAGGGGCAGACTGACAACTCATGGGGCCCTCGGGCAATAGGGGATCATGGGGCCCCTGTGTCCTTGCCCACACTCAAAAAAAAGCCTATAAAAAGGTACCAAGGGCATTTCATGGGGCCCCTTACCAGCCCCCAGGCACTCAGGCAGTGCCCGAGTGCTCGAATGGTCAGGCCACCCCTGTGCCAGGCTCATCCACGTTACTAACCGTTCCGTATCTGCCATCCGTCTCTGCCGCCAATCCCTCCACTGGCTTCCCATTGCCCAACGGATAAAATTCAAAACATTAACAATAACATACAAAGCCATTTATAACTCTGCCCCAAATTACATCACCAATCTTGTCTCCAAATATCACCCAAACCATCCTCTCCGCTCCTCCCACAATCTCCTGCTCTCTAGCTCCCTTGTCTCCTCCTCCCATGCTCATCTCCAGGACTTCTCCAGAGCCTCCCCCATCCTCGGGAACTCTCTACCCCAATTTATCAGACTATCGCCTACTCTGCTCACTTGTAGTCGATCTCTGAAAACCTATCTCTTCAGGGAAGCCTATCCTGCCCTCAGCTAATCGTGGAATCTTCTACTCCTCCTACCAGTCTATCCCCCACAGTTACTACCTTTTGTATCACTAGCCCCTCCCTCTTCGATTGTAAGCTCCAAGGAGCAGGACCCTCCTAACCCTCTTGTATTGAACTGTATTGTTACTGTATTGTCTCCCATTATAATGTAAAGCGCTGAGCAAACTGTGGGCGCTATATAAATCCTGTATAATAATAATAATATTTGTATACATCCATATATATTAGCAAAGGCCCTAGTAAATAAAATCGTGGCTTTTTGCCTTTTTTTTTACATCACACTGTATTTGCACAGCAGTACACCCAAAATATTTTGGGAAAAAACACACTTTCATGAACTTTAATGCACACAAACACAATATAATACCTAATTTTTTAGGGGGTAAAATGTTAAATACGGCGCTATGCCGCCTAAGTAGATACCAAAGATGTCACGCTATAATATTGCACACGCAAGCACTCAGTACCCCATTAGAAGGCTCTGATGGTGTGGAACAATGGAAAGATCCAGAACTTTGTATTTTGTATTGTTAACATTAGCTGACACTGCGTGATTTTTTTTTTTATACTTAGCACTTCTACTAAAATGTACGGTACCTTACTCATATTCAAATCCAAGTTCTTTTTATAATTTTGTACTCTGTTGTATTTGTTTGAAATACAATAAAAAAAAAAAACATTGAAAAGAAAATTGCGCATGCTTGTGGAATGGTGCCAAACTACGGTATTTAAAAATCTCCATAGAAAACGCTTTATAAACCTTTACACGGCAATAACTCACATGTGTGGTGCAATCACATCCTGTTTGAAAAGTAACATTTTAATCAATATCTCAATGAACATAAGAACAATTTCCAAAATTTTGACAAAACTGAGTTCTATCACTTGTTTAGCGCAATACATGAAAGTAAGATTAATAATATAACTTAGATTACAAAATCTTCAGTTTTACTCAAATTAGTTGATGCAAAAATAAATACTCCCCCCCCCAACAAAAACTACATCATCTAGTACTTTGTATGACCTCCATGATTTGCAAGGACAGCACTAAGTCTTCTCGGCATGGAATGAACAAGCTGGCGACATATTGCAACATTGATCTTTTTCCATTCTTCAAGAATGATCTCCTTTAGAGTCTTTATACTGGATGGAGAGTGATGCTCAACTTGTCTCCTCAGAATTCCTCATAGGTATTTGATTGGATTTAGATCAGGAGATTGGATTCAGATCAGGAGACATACTTGACCACTGAATCACTTTCACCCTGTTCTTTTTCAGAAATGCAACCAGGGGAGCACATAAGGGGAGGTCAGGGGGGTCTGAACCCCCCCCCCCCCCATAAAAGAGTTGCCAACCATCCTTGCAGCCCTCGAAATTTCCAGTCGCCTGCGGAGTGGAAATAAGGTGGGGGCGAGAACTGAAGGGATTATGGGTGTGTGGGAGGGGTGGCGGTGGGGGCAGTGACAAGCAGCAATCTCCTGTACTCCTGTATGGCTTTCAATGAAGCAGCTGGAAGTCACATCTCCTCCTCTCCCTCCTGTGGCTTCCAGCTGCTTCATTGAAAGCCATACAGGAGATTGCTGCTTGTCACCACCCCCACCACTGCACAGAACATACCTGATCATTCCGTTTTCTTTCTACCCCCCCCTTCCCCCCCCGCTGTTTTCCTCTCAGTGCCTAGCTCCTCCCTCCATCCTCCGCACCAATAGGAGAAGAAGGAAGAGAGGCTGGATCGCTCTGCCTCCCCCTGTGCCCACCCACACTCCAGTCCATGCAGCTTCAGAGGAGGTGTGAATTGAAATTGAACACAGCAGCCAAAAGCTCTGGAGCATCTGAATGAGTCATGTCAGTCCAACCTACCTTTCTTCCACCCACCCCTCCCTTCCTTCCTTCTTTCCACCTACCCCCCCTCCCCCTTCCTTCCTTCCACCCACCTTTCCTTCCTTCCACCCACCACTCCCTTCCTTCCATTCACCCACCCCCCTTCCTTCCTTCCTTCCTTCCTTCCTTCCTTCCTTCCTTCCTTCCTTCCTTCCTTCCTTCCTTCCTTCCTTCCTTCCTTCCCTTCCCCTTCCCTTCCTTCCTTCCTTCCCTCCCTTCCTTCCATTCACCCCTTCCTTCCATCAACCAATGATTTCCCCTCCACCAACCCCTTCCTTCCATCTTTCCACCCACCCCTTCCTTCCACCCACCCCTCCCTTCCTTCCTTCAATCCACCCCCTTCCTTCCTTCCCCCCCACCTTTCCTTCCACCCACCTTTCCTTCCTTCCACCCACCCCTCGCTTCCTTTCTTCCACCCACCCTCCCTTCCTTGTATCCACCCCTTCCTTCCTTCCATCCACCCCCCCTTCCTTCCATCCACCCTTCCTTCCTTCCACCCATCCCCTCCCTTCCTTCTTTCCACCCACCCCTTCCTACCACTCCTTCCTTCCACCCACTTCTCCCTTCCTTCCTTCCTTCCTTCCTTCCTTCCTTCCTTCCTTCCTTCCTTCCTTCCTTCCTTCCTTCCTTCCTTCCTTCCTTCCCCACCCCCTTCCTTCCACCCCTCCCTTCCTTCCATCCACCCACCCCTTCCTTCCACCCCTCCCTTCCTTTCACCCACCCCTTCCTTCCTTCCACCCACCCCTTCCTTCCACCCACCCTTCCTTCCACCCACCCTTCCTTCATTCCACCCATCCATTCCTTCCACCCACCCCTCCCTTCCTTCCTTCCATCCACCCCTCTCTTCCTTCCTTCCACCCACCCCCCCCTTCCTTCCACCCACCCCTCACTTCCTTCCACCCACCCACCCTTCCTTCCACCCACCCCTCCCTTCCTTCCTTCAATCCACCTCTTTCTTCCTTTCTTCCACCCACCCTTCCTTCCCCCCACCCCTCCCTTTCTTCCTTCCACCCACCCACCCACCCTTCCTCCTCCCCCCTTCCTTCCTTCCCCCATCCCTCCCTTCCTTCCACCTACCCATCCTTTCCTTCCATCCACCCAACCACCCCTTCCTTCCTTCCAGTCCTCTCTTCTTCCTTCAAGGAGGAGAAGTTGGTGGGGGGAGCGGTAAAAAGGCAGCTCAGCTGCTAGCTGACCCCACCCCCTCAAAAAAAAAAATAGATCTAAAGCCCTGAATGCAACAGTGGCCTTTGATGTGTGTTTTAGATCATTGCCATGCTGGAGAAGTGCACGATGACCAAGGGCACCGAGTGATGGTAGCATCTTCTCTTTCAAAATAGAGCGGTACAACTGTGAATTCATGATATCATCAATGATATGCAGCTCCCCGACACCAGCAGCACTCATGCAGTCCCACAGAAGGACACTGCTACCGCCATATTTCACAGTATGCACCATGCATTCTTCTTTGTACTCCTCACCTTTGTGACGCCATACAGTTTTGAAGCCATCAGTTCCAAAAACATCATCACTCCAGAGTACAGAGTCCCAGTAATCTTCCTTTTTTTTCAGCACGTGCCCTGGCAAATTCTAGGCAAGTTGTTTTGTGCATAGGCTTTAGGAGAGGTTTCCTTAGTGGATGACACCCATGCATGTCATTCCTCTGCAGTGTACGCCATATTGTGTCACATGAAACAATCACCCCAGTTTGGCTTTCTACTTTTCTAACTAACTGCAGTGAACTTGCATGTCCATTTTCTTCAACCCTTCTCATCAGAAAACGCTCCTATCGAGGTGTTAAGCTCAGTGGACGGCCTAGACTTCTCTGTGAGATGGTTGCAGTTCCATTTTTGTTAAATGTTTGTACCACGTTTGCTACAGTATTCTGATAAGTAAAGCTTTGCTGATGTTCTTATAGCCTTCATCTTTCTTGTGTCAAGAAATTATTTTCTTTCTCAAGCCTTTCTCCTCCATGTGGTGCCATTGCTGAC